GACCTCTTTATGAATGATATCGACTTGCTCCTGGCCGGCGTTACTGAGGATCTGGATTGCGCTCGCTCGATCTCGTCTGGCCTTTTCAAAAATGTCAAGTCGTTGTGGGATGTCAGACGGTGAGCTTACGCCACTGAGGGCGATTCCCATGGCGATGCCGTCTTCTATTCCTTGGGCGCCGCCCTGGCCTTGGTCTACCACAGTAGAAGAGGTCTGTTAGTCTGTATCCTGATCCCATGCCAGAAGCCATATCTGTGCTCAAAACCAGCATTCTCTTTTCTAAAGTCAGCAAGGCACTCACGCGGAAGCATAGGATGCGCTGCGTCACCAATGATGACGAGCTTCTCCTTAGTCCATCTGGGTATTGGGGCGCGATAAAGCAAGGGCCACCGCTTCACGTCGGTAGCTTTACTGCGCAAAGTGCCGATGTTAGTACACATTGTTCGTGACTGAATCCTTTGGTCAATGGTATATGCAAAAGGCAATGTACCTTAGAACTGCTCTTAGGGACGGGTGAAAGTCAGGGAAGGCTTTGAGCAAGTGAGACTTGTCTACAGGCGCGTGCCAGTCTGTTTGTCCTCTTGTCAGCCATGCACAGGTCAGGCCGAGGTTCATATGGTGTCCGAGTTCACATGCCTTCTTTTGTTGCCACAGCCAGTTCATCGTCGTGGAACATGCAAACAAAGTTCCATAATTCGTGGCTAACAACCTGTGTCAGTTTTTTGCATCTCTTCTGCTCAGTCGAATCGGTTAGGCAATACGGACTTTCGACAAGGATACGAGACACATCGGTTCCCAGTTTTACCGTTCATGTAAATGCTCATTTTCCCGTTGCGCTCGCCATCCTTGTTCCACCATCTTGTCTCGGGATCAGAGTCAAGATCGGCGGCCAGGATAAGGAATCGGAAACATCCGTTGTATAAATCTTGAGGCTGAGGAGGGTTCGTGTGGCCAAGGACCGCCTCCACTGCGATGGAATGGATTCCATCTGCGGCAATGACCAGATCTGCTGCAAGAACATGCCCAGTTGATAACGTCACTGCAGGTGTTTCGGGGTCCTACAAACAGTGAGTCTTACAGCTTGAACCGTAGGTCACTAGACCTGGACTCACATAGCCAACGACCGTCGTATCCAGCTGCAAAACAGCCGGCTCTCCCGCGCCCTCCCCGACAGCCAAGACCTTCAATGCCTCGTGCAGATCAACCCGATGAGCAAAGTAGAGCGGCGCCCCATACACACCACGCACCCACGGTCCCAGCGGAGAAGAGACAATAGGTTCGAGTGTTGCGCCAACAGCCGTGAGAATGCCCTGCACCTCGACAAACCGATTGGCCACGGGATCGAGACCCCAAGCGAGGAGCGCGCGGGAGGCATTGGGACAGACGTTGATGGCTGCGCCGACTTCATTGCCGAGAGCGGACCGTTCGAGGATACGGACCCGGTGTCCTGCCCGGCGAAGGGAGATGGCGGCCGAGAGTCCGGCGATGCCGGCGCCGACGATGATTATGTCGAGGGGCATTGTCGCAGGTAGGGGCGAATTCAATTGGCTGATTCTTCCTCTGTATTGTCAATTCCTTGGTGGAGCTGAATGTTGACGATCAAGATGGCAAGGATGAATGTCTTTGATGGATCATTAAGAATCCGGCGATTGACCAGACTGCATGGTTCTGCACCATGTCTCGCCTGGGAAGATGCGATTCCCCAGACTCTTGTCGGCTAAGTACTGGTACCTGATTGGAGAACCATACAATCTGTCGGCAGATATCCGGAGCTCCACTTTCCGGTCATGTCGGTCGGTTGGGAGTGTTATTCCGATCCGTAACGTCTTGGAGAATGGCATCAGGCATGTCGAGATATGGTCCCGATGATGGCACGGGATTGGGCGTCGAGTCCCGGTAGCTTGGCAAGTTGGCCCGATCATCTTAATTCCCGGCCCCCTTTCCAGTCGAGTGAAAAGGGGACCCCATAAAATTCATTGGCAACTATGGAGAAACCAGCGATATTGTTCAGCGCATCGCTCATATAATGGAACCATGGTCAGTTACATCCGTCAATCATGTCGTTATGTTGACCTGAAAATGTCTGTCCTCTTTGGACGTGACCGCTTCCTATGGCCGCATTTGGCAGCTGTATTGAGCAGCCACAGTGCTGGGATCGGAAAGTGCCTGGGCGGCGAAAAGGTCATGGCACTTGTATGACTGCGGCACAGTTAGCGTTCAACTTCAACACGCTAAGGCGCACTCGCTTGAGAGAGGATGCTTTCAAAAAGTTCAAAAATCGACGGTGAGGTGAGCTGGGACTGAATCTGTACAAGTATGGCAATGGTTTTGGGACTGCTTCCAGTCTTATTTGTGATATCAACAAACTCAGGGCTCCTTGTCAGAGAATGCTATGGGCCATAGCCCCTGACTTATTCATAACATTTTCTCAAAAGTCCCGGCGAAAGCTGGTTTGCGGCCCAGCAAAGGTTCAAACGTCTGATAGGGCTGATAAGGCGACTCTTTGACCATGATAAAATCTGGTTAAACATTGTTGGTGCCGATCTACTGATATGTAGGGGCAACACCCAAATAGGAATAAAGAACATCTTTGGATAGTTGGTATTATGACCAACCAACCCCCTGTGATCCATCAACCATAAACTGCGGTTGACTACCGTGCGGAGGCGGGCATGTCACATTCGTCCCAGTCCTTGATGTTGTTGGTTTCTGTCAATGACTAGGATTGCTCCAACAGTCTAACTCCGTATCCGTACAGATGCAGCTACAGGATTTCTGTGGCTTAGGACAAATGTTCGAGCACTTCCCGATCCCGGCCCGCAGCTATCAAATCCAATACGGGTTAAAGCTTCACCAACCAAGATTTCGGCCAGGACTCCAGGTCTGTCCACGAAAACGGGGAAAAGTCTTGATACATATATCTTTTGTCCCCACCTCGACTCCACTTATGATGCTGGCAACTCAACAACTCCACCACCAGCCTTGACAAACAGCCTCTCGCCGCTTGAACCTGGTGACAATCTCAAGATGGACATCCCTGAGCCGGCAGTCAAGGCCGTGGTGACCAACGTCATCTTCACCTGCTTGTCATTCTTCTTTGTCTGTTTTCGGTTATACACGCGAGCCTTTATGATCAAAAACATTGGTGCCGATGACTATCTGATTCTCTTTTCGATGGTAAGATCTTGCCATGTCAACATCATGCTGCGTGGCAGTTACTAACAACGCGCTGTTTGACTAGATGGCCTCGATTGCCTTCTTCGCCACCTTTATGCTTCGTGAGTCCTCAAGTCCCATCCATTACTCCACCTCGACTCATACACCTCGTCTGATATCAAGCATATATCACTCCAACTAAAGATTTGTGACATTAGAAATAAAAGCAGGCCTAGGCCGTCCCATCTCCCTCCCCGAGCTACCGGCGTTTTTGCAAGCCCTCTGGGCCACAATCCCGCTCTACAACCTCTCCCTGACCCTCTGCAAACTCTCCATAACGGTCCAATGCTACCGCGTCCTCCGCACAGCCCCTCGCCTCGCCAAATTTCTCCGAATCTACCTCATGATCCTGATCATCTATGGCATCTGGGCCGTCCTCTCGAGCATCTTCAACTGCTGGCCGGTAGAGTACTACTGGACATGGATGGCTCCTATCATCGAGGATATGAAACAAGCTTCGGGTCCACCACCAGGTCAAGATGCTGGAGAAAGACCTCCGCCCAGTAATCATGATCAGACAGGAATAGGAGAACACAAAGAAGCAGGCAAATGCATGGTCAAAGTGGCACTTACCTTCTCAAACGCGGCTGTCAATATCGCCACCGACTTTGTGCTCATCTTTGTGCCCATTCCGCTCCTTTGGAGGTTACAACTTCCCAGCACGAGGCAAAAGGTCATTCTCGTGGGGGTCTTGTCTGTAACGGGTGGCGTGGCTGTTGTCATGTCCATTGTGCGGCTTTGGTCACTCTACCAGATGGGAATAGCGCCTGAGGGAGAGGAGAATGTCCATGGGGTCATGATTGCGATTTGGAGCTGTATTGAGATTAATGTTGCCATTGTGTGTGCTTGTGTGCCGGCGTTGAGACCTTTGGTCGGGAAGGTCTTTCCGGGATGGGCACTGGGTGTGGGTAGCACGAGTAGGAGTCGGAGTGGGACGGCAGGAGAACGATCCAGAGCTCGGTCGGGAATGGGCATCATGGGGTTAGGTGGCAGTCTCTCTGTTGGAAGGAGACATGGAGGAGGAGGAACTGAGTCAGATGGCTGGGATCTCGACGGGGAATCGGGAATGGGTACGAGGAGCAATGTTCGAGTTGGAGGAAGTGACTTTCATCTTGCGGGTCGTGCCAGTGCAGGTGGGCATATTCAGGTTGAGCAGACGTTTGAGATGAAGAGCGTGCTGGTTGGACACGGCGCTCGTGATGTTAGGGGCTTGTATTCTGGCGACGAGGACGAGAAGGGAAGTCGAGACGGGAGTGAGAAGAATCTGGTCCGTGGGTGATTACTCGCTGTCCGTCATGGTGGACCTGAGACATCTGCATGGATGATGAAGGCTATCTCGTTCCACTCGGAATACTTGATGGGATGGGTCTTAGCCCCTTGGGACCTTTCAGTTGGATAGCCGGGGAAGGCACAACTGAAGGGAGAGGGAGTATCAGGGTCTTACAGGCAGATGGAAGGAGGATAGCTCGGAGGATGATGTCTTTTAGCTTTCCGTGCCGCGGTAGTTTGTACAGGCCATCTCGCGGATCACCTTGTCATGGAAAAGTTCAACCGTTCTCTTGACTGGCTCATCATCGTCGTGGTCCTTACGACGAGTTCTCGCGCCTGGAAGCTTTCTCGGTGATGCAAGACCTCCCAGAGTCCCTGTTCTCTGCAGCAACCGATGTAGAACGCCACCTCATAAACTTTCCACCCGGAACTTAAAATTTCTAAATGAAAGTGGCCACATTTCCGGGACATATAAGCAACCAGACAAACGTCAGCTAACATGCGCCGTTGCAAGTGGCTCAATGGTCTAGTGGTATGATTCGCGCTTCGGGTGATGGATCCAGGCTTCTTCCTGGCATCCGCCCATTACTTGGACAGCACAAGTAAAACTGCAATGTGCGAGGTCTCGGGTTCGAATCCCGATTGAGCCCCTTTTTGCACATGCCTGGGGCGTTTTATTTTAGTTTTGGTTCAATATGATTGTCGGTCAATCCAAACAAGATACCCTTTCCCGACCGGTTTCCAAGCTCCGCATCCCGGGCGATTTACCCGGCACACAACCGGCCGGTAGGAAAGGTAGCGACCGGACATATGCCAGGCACAGCCGTAATTCCCGCAGGCCATGATCTTCATCGACCCCGGTCAATGTCTATTTCACCCGATTCGCGCGTCTGTAACCAAGCTGTAGATCCAGATCTCGGTACCGACCATGGCCCGAAAGTCCCACGACGTAGCGCTCGAATGGGAAGAAGAAGTCGAGACTAGACTGAAAATACAAAGGGGAACCCAACAGGCCGAAGTCCGGATTATCGGAACTCTAGGAAATTACGCAGCTTGTATTCAGGCCAGTACACTGCATCTCAAGATCTACATATAGGCCTTCGAGATTCCACGCTCTCCTCGGGTGGGCAGGTAATACTTGGGCCAGAGATAGATAACGTAGACCTTTGAGCGTGTGTCTGTCTGTCTGTCCGTCTGTGTTACATCTCGGGGTCCACAGTCCATGTAACATAGCCCTGTCTTGTCCTTTGTTACAGGTAGCAGGTTAGGCACCGACTCACCGTCACCATGGTTGGGCTTCTCTTCACCTCGGCCCTCCTTCTACAGGGCCTTGCCGTACTCGCCGCACCCGTTGATGAGCCACCTAAACCCGAGGTCCGTCCCTGGGGCTTCTTCACCAACAACACCATCTACCAGCCGGTGGGCAACCAATCCGTCACATACCCCCGGTTTGCCGAACTCACCGACGGGACCATCCTGGCCACTTCTTCCCTCTCGGGCCCCAGACCAGCATACTTCCCCATCTTCGAGAGTAAAGATGGCGGTGCGAGCTGGACATGGGTGTCTAACATGACGGACCAGGTCAACGGTTGGGGCATGGGTGCCCAGCCTGCCTTGGCCGAGCTCACCGAGCCCATGGGCGGGTTCGATGCCGGCACCGTCCTCGCCTCGGGCAACAGCTGGTCCAACAACGGGACCCGGATCGACCTGTACGCCAGTACTGATCGTGCACGAACCTGGCAATTCGTCAGCCACATTGCCCAAGGTGGCCGTCCGAATACCACCAACGGTGCTGACCCCATCTGGGAGCCATACCTCATGTTTGTCTTTCTCTCTTGGCTCTTTCACACATGAAAGACAGCTGACAATGTGCCTTCTAGGGTATATAACCACTCCTTGATAGCATTCTACTCTGACCAACGCGACCCCGACCACGGCCAAAAGCTGGCCCACCAAACCTCGACCGACCTCGTAAACTGGGGACCAGTAGTCGACGACGTAGCCTACGACCTGTACATTGCCCGCCCCGGCATGACCGTGGTAGTCTACATCCCGCCCATCAAGAAGTACATCCTCGTTCACGAGTTTCCCATCGGCAACTCATCCTCTCACGGAGTCAACTATCCCGTCTACTACCGACTTGCCGATTCGCCCGAAGACTTCCGATTTAGCGAGGGTCTGCCCATCGTGATCAACAACACCACGGCGCCGAATGCCTCGCCCTATGTAACCTGGTCGCCTGCGGGTGGGGAGTTTGGCACGATTGTGGTGAGCGATGCTGATAATGCAGTCGTGTATACCAACCAGTACGGAGGAGATGTGGATAAGTGGGAGTTGCATGAGACGCCCGCTGGAGCAACGTATAGTCGAGCCATTCACATCTTGGGCGGCCGACCGGATCACTTGATGATCTTTGGTGGTGAGACGTTTGATGATATGGGACTGGGCCTGAGGACGCCGTTTACGGCTACCGTCGTTAGTCTGCAGGCTGTGTTGGAGGATCGGGCGGGCAAGGTCAAGAACTGAGACTTTGTACTGAAGTGGTTGAGGACAACTCATAAAAAGGCAGAGGAAAGAAAATGTTTGTTGGCTGGTACTAGGTAGTCTGCCCCGGTGCCTGCAGTGATGTGTTTTTGGTCCTTAGGTAATAATAAAAGTATTAATTATGGAACAATGGTGTACTGTTGGACCTCCCCAAATATTCTAGTACGTTCTGATGAGCAAACCGTGGAACTGTTCTTTGCTCAGTATTTCAAGTATCAAATCAACGATGGTAGGTTTTAATATCATTTATTTGCCCCATGGGCTGTCTTTGTAGTATACAGTCACTCCTAGTATGCTAAGAGAAATGCTTTTGTTTGACAATCCCATCCCAGCTTGACAGATTCCCCCATAATGAAGATTGAAGATGTGGTGTGAGCCTCATCACCAGCACACATCATATCGCCAGGATAGCCCGGACAGCGACAAGTTGAAAGTGGCGCAATGTGATTGGTGCGCCTGTAGATGCATTTCCCATATATATGTTCCTGCGTGGCTCAATCAACGTAGAGTGCGGTGGTGTCCTGCTTGATGTGTATAAATGACCGTGTCCCCCGCTCCATCTTAGCCGCCACTTTTCTTCTCCAATTCTCACCAGCTACCTGGTCCGCCCAGAGCCAGGCAATACAGCCATATTATGGGAATAATTGGAGAAGAGGCATCTACCACTCGACAGTATCGTGAGATGTTGAACCCGGCACTGCAGTGCGTCGAGGCTTCTTCATCCCAGAATTCCAACTCATTGTTTCATCAAGTGTCTATCTTGAAAACTTGTCAGTAATGCCCATCTGTTTAGCTTCCACAGCTTCGATCGTCAAACACTGTCGCATCAAGGTATTTGCTTTCCACTCATATCATCGTCTGTTGGCACTGCCCTTCTCCACAATATTGTTGCATTGTGTTATAATCCATCGCCTCAGCCGCACCAGTCGGCTGCCGCTCTGAGCTGCCGAGGTCGCGGGGACGATCGTTGGTGCTTGTGCGTGATATTAACCACCTATGTCCCGGGATCCTACCCCAATAACAGACCTGGGTGGTTTACCCGTTTCGACTATATTACCATTCTAGATATATAAGTGCCAAGACTTCCATCTTCTTCAACCATATCGACCATGTGTATTATGACAGACGAAAATCATGTGCTTTGTATGTTTTCTCTGGGCTCAGCTATGGCAGAAAGGCCGGATGAGTTTGGTGTTGGTCTGAACACAGAATTCTTCGGTCCTCCTCTGTCTTGATAAAACCCATCTTTTTTCAACAGTCAACCAGCCCGCAAATCTTCGCCGTTCTAGATCGATGTCAGCCACAATTTTGGGGTCAGAAGCTACCATGTATAGCCCCTATCTCAACAAACTCTAGGGATCTTCGCTGTAGTGGTCGATCTTTGTGAGCTAAGCTCAGGTGGGCAGCCAGGGTCCTCGGAACCCGGCTCTGAGCCGCGCGGCAAGATGGGTAACGGAAGCCTCACACACCGTTGACCGTCCCCGAAAGGGGAAACTGTCAACCATGACCAGCAAATAAGCATTCGTGTCAGACACAAAGAGCAATGCCGAACTCTTGGCGTCTCCTACTCAAGATTTATCCATACAATCCCGGGCGTCTGGTAGCCATGTGTTCAGAATCCGGGGTAAGCTCTCCGACGCCACATGGCGGATGCGCGCCAATGGCCACACCAACATGCACAAGAAACAGGACCTGATTCGCATCTGCCCAGCCTTGTCACAAATAGACCCAATATGGAAGTCTCAAAACATTCGGGAAGCAGGTGATTGTAATTAACAACAGAGCCACGAGGACAGGGACAGCAGCATAGTAATAGATATTCGGATAATAACCACCGAACGTGTGGAGAGCATCCATGCAACATACTCGACGACAATAAGAAAACCAGGTATATAACCTCCAGGCCTGCAAGTCATTTCGACAGCCACTCTTTCTAGAAGACATCCTCAACCCCATCCCGCACCTTCTTTTCCCCAGTGTGTGACAGGCCCAACCATCGTCAAGATGCTCACAAACCTCCTCGCCGTCGGCGTCCTCGCCCTCTCCTCCTTGGTGTCCACCGCCAGCGCTGCCCCCTCGGCCGGCTGCGGCAAGAACCCAACCATCAGCTCGACACGGTACAACATCAATATCAACGGCAAGAACCGCGAGTACTACATGAAGCTGCCCGACAACTACGACAAGAACCGCCCCTACCGCCTGATCTTCACCTGGCATCAGCTCGGCGGGTCCGCGCAAAAGATCGTCAACGGTGAAGACCCCAACAAGGGCGGTGCCCTCCCCTACTACGGCCTCGTCCCCCACTCCAACAACAGCGCCATCTTCGTCGTCCCCAACGGTCTCAACCAAGGCTGGGGCAACACGGGCGGCGAGGACGTGACCTTCTTCGACAAGCTCGTCGAGCGCATCGAAGCCGACCTCTGCGTCGACACCTCGCTCCGCTTCTCGACCGGTTTCTCCTACGGCGGCGCCATGTCCTACGCCCTTGCCTGCGCTCGTCCCAAGATGATCCGCGCCGTGGCTGTCATCTCTGGTGCGCAGCTCAGCGGCTGCTCCGGCGGCAACGACCCCGTAGCGTACTACGGTCAGCACGGTACTTCCGACTCGGTGCTCAACATCTCCATGGGCCGTCAGCTCCGCGACAAGTTTGTCAAGAACAACGGATGCCAGTCCGCCGGCGAGCCGCAGGCTGCGCAGGGCCGTTCGGCCAGAGTCGACTACAAGGGCTGCAAGGAGGGATACCCAGTCACTTGGGTTCTGCACACGGGCGACCACAACCCCAGCCAAAAGGACAACGGACAGAGCCAGCCCTTTGCTCCGGGCAACAGCTGGCAGTTCTTTTCCCAGTTTGCCTCGCAGTAAATAAATCGAACCGGTTCAGTTGTCATGGCCCCACCACCAGCACGATTTGTGACACTGGTGTAAGGGGTCAAGGGCAGGAAAAGAAGGATGAATTGGAAAGGCTGAGGAGGAAAACATTGTATATACCTGCTGGAAGAAGATGTGTCGAGGGGGCTAGTACATACAGATGGTCGTGCATGTGGCCATTGAAACAAAAGAGGAAATGCAAAAAAGCATCATCTCACTACTCACAACTACCGGTCCC